CCTCCTAGTGATCACGGAAACCTGGATCCAGCACACTGACTCTGCCTCCCCTGCTGCACTCTCCTACGGCGGTCTCACCTGGACCCACTCACCCAGGCCTAACGGTCGTAAAGGTGGTGGGGTTGGTCTGCTCCTGTCACCGCAGAGCACCTTCCGAGTCCTCCCAAACCCCCCCTCCCTATCCTTCTCCTCCTTCGAGGCCCACTGCGTCCGACTATTCTGCCCAACCCCCCTGAAGATTGCTGTGATATACCGGCCTCCTGGATCCATACCCCACTTCCTGGATGACTCCTCCTCCTGGATCCATACCCCGCTTCCTGGATGACTCCTCCTCCTGGATCCATACCCCCCGCTTCCTGGATGACTTCTCCTCCTGGATCCCATACCCCGCTTCCTGGATGACTTCTCCCTCCTGGATCCATACCCCCCTCCTGGATGACTTCTCCTGGATCCATACCCCGCTTCCTGGATGACTTCTCCTCCTGGATCCATACCCCGCTTCCTGGATGACCTCTCCTCCTGGATCCATACCCCCGCTTCCTGGATGACTTCTCCTCCTGGATCCATACCCCGCTTCCTGGATGACCTCTCCTCCTGGATCCATACCCCGCTTCCTGGATGACTTCTCCTGGATCCATACCCCGCTTCCTGGATGACCTCTCCTCCTGGATCCATACCCCGCTTCCTGGATGACCTCTCCCCTGGATCCATACCCCGCTTCCTGGATGACTCCTCCTCCTGGATCCATACCCTGCTTCCTGGATGACTTCTCCTGGATCCATACCCCGCTTCCTGGATGACTTCTCCTCCTGGATCCATACCCCGCTTCCTGGATGACTTCTCCTCCTGGCTACCCTTCTTCCTCTCCTCTGAGCTCCCCACCATCATCCTTGGGGATTTCAACATCCCTGTCAACCTCGACAACCCGGACACATCCCGTCTCCTCCACCTAACCTCCTCCTTTGCACTTGCACAGTGCATACAATCCACCACCCACTCCAACGGGAATATCCTTCATCTCGTCTTCTCCAACCGCTGCGCTCCCCACAACCTCACTAACACCCCCTTCCCTCTCTCTGACCACAACCTGATCACCTTCTCTATCTCCTCGTCCTCCAACGCCTACCCCTCCAAATGTCACACTACTACCAGCCGTAACCTCCGCAACCTGAACCCCTGCCCCCCTCCCACTCTGCAGCTGATCAACTCCATGACAGCATCCTCCCCCTGTCCTGCCCCGACTTGGCCATGACTGCCTACAACAATGCGCTCTCAACAGCCCTTGACTCACTAGCGCCTTTAACCACACGCAACATCAGACCCCGACCGCTCCAGCCCTGGCAGACTGATCACACCAAAACCCTCAAACGACACAGTCGTGCCCTGGAGCGACTATGGCGCAAAACCAAATCCCAACAAGCCTTCACCCGCTACAAATCTGCCTTCCACACCTACACCTCCTCCCTCCACGCAGCCAAACAAGCCTACTTCCTGACCCTCATCAAGGCCCTCTCCTCCAATCCTCAACGACTCTTCTCCACCTTCAACTCTCTACTCTCGCCACCCCCACCTCCACCCAGCACCTCACTCACCGCTCTCCCCCCCCCCTCATCCCACCCAGCACCTCACTCACTGCCCTTGACATTGCCAATTCACTTCAAAAACAAGATTGACACAATTCGCAAGGACATTGCCGCAACTCACACCCCCTCTCAACCCGTCCCCTCTCACAGAGCTACCCCCTCATCCCCCCTCCCCCTCGACATAACCCGCAGGGACTTCGTCACTGCTCAAACTTCCTCCAACCCCGTTCCCCCTCACTCAGCTACCCCCTCATCACCCCTCTCCCACGGCCCCACCACTGCTCTGACCCCACTTCCACCCCACCCTACATTCCTCATACTGAAGCCCCCCAACACTCCGCACCTTTGACCTTACTACCATCGAGGAAGTCTCCAAGATCCTCTCTGATGCCCGCCTCACCACCTGCCCCCTCGACCCTATCACCTCACAACTCCTACGACCCCCCTCCCCCTCCATCCTACGCTCCCCTCACCCACATCTTCAATCTCTCCCTCTCCTCCGGCACTTTCCCCTCCCCTCTGAAACATGCACACATCACCCCCATACTTAAAAAGCCCTCCCCTGGACCCCAATGACCCGAACAACCTCAGACCCATCTCCCTGCTCCCATTTACATCTAAACTCCTCGAGCGCCTCGTCTACACCCGCCTATGCTCTCACCTCAACGACAACAACCTCCTCGATCCCCTACAGTCCGGCTTCCGTCCCCTACACTCCACCGAAACCCCCCTACACCCCACCCGAAACCACCCTACACTCCACCGAAACTGCCTTACACCCCACCGAAACCGCCCTACACTCCACCGAAACCGCCCTACACTCCACCGAAACCGCCCTACACTCCACCGAAACCGCCCTACACCACCGAAACCGCCCTACACTCCACCGAAAAACCGCCCTACACTCCACCGAAACTGCCCTACACTCCACCGAAACCGCCCTACACTCCACCGAAACCACCCTACACTCCACCGAAACCTCCCTACACTCCACCGAAACCGCTACACTCCACCGAAACTGCCCTACACTCCACCGAAACTGCCCTACACTCCACCGAAACCACCCTACACTCCACCGAAACCACCCTACACTCCACCGAAACCGCCCTACACTCCACCGAAACCGCCCTCCTCAAATCACCAACGACCTGCTAACCGCCAAAGCTAATGGCCACTATTCAGTGCTCCTACTCCTTGACCTCTCTGCGGCCTTCCACACAGTCGACCACCCCCTCCCCTCAAAAAACTACACTCCCTCGGCCTCAGAGATTCTGCTCTCTCCTGGATCTCATCCTACCTGTCACAACGCTCTTTCAGCGTTACCTATAATGCTACCACCTCCCCCCTCACTCCCCCTCTCTGTTGGGGTCCCTCAAGGCTCTGTCCTCGGGCCCCTTCTCTTTCTCCATCTATACCTCCTCCCTTGGCCAACTCATACACTCTCACGGCTTCAACTACCACCTCTATGCCGACGACACACAAATCTATCTCTCAACCCCCACCCCCTCGGTCACCTCTCACCCCCCCTCGGTCCTCTGCCCCCCCCCCCTCACCCCCTCTGTCTCTGCCTGAATCACACACCTACACCGGTAAATTACAGCTTCCAGACGGTAAATGACAGCAACAGCCAGTAAGTGACAGTAAATGACAGCTCAGAGCCAGAGCTCAGTAAAAACAGACATCCCAGCTGGTAAATTATATCTCCCAGCCGGTAAATGAGTACCCTTACATCCAGCACCCCACATACCCCTGTACCCCCTGTACATCCAGCACCCCACATACCCCGAACCCTCTCAATCAGCACCCCACATACCCCGTACCCTCTCATCCAGCACCCCACATACCCCTGTACCTTCACATCCAGTACCCCACATACCCCCCTGTACATCCAGCACCCCACATACCCCTGTACCCTCACATCCAGCACTCCACATACCCCTGTACCCTCACATCCAGCACTCCACATACCCCTGTACCCTCACATCCAGCACTCCACATACCCCTGTACCCTCACATCCAGCACCCCACATACCCCTGTACATCCAGCACCCCACATACCCCTGTACATCCAGCACCCCACATACCCCTGTACCCTCACACATCCAGCACCCCACATACCCCTGTACATCCAGTACCCCACATACCCCTGTACCCTCACATCCAGCACTCCACATACCCCTGTACCCTCACATCCAGCACTCCACATACCCCTGTACCCTCACATCCAGCACCCCACATACCCCTGTACCCTCACATCCAGCACCCCACATACCCCTGTACATCCAGCACCCCACATATCCCTGTACATCCAGCACCCCACATATCCCTGTACCTTCACATCCAGCACCCCACATATCCCTGTACCTCACATCCAGCACCCCACATACCCCTGTACCCTCACATCCAGCACCCCACATACCCTGTACATCCAGCACCCCACATATCCCTGTACATCCAGCACCCCACATATCCCTGTACCTTCACATCCAGCACCCCACATACCCCTGTACCCTCAGATCCAGCACCCCACATACCCCTGTACATCCAGCACCCCACATACCCCTGTACATCCAGTACCCCACATGCCCCTGTACCCTCACATCCAGCACCCCACATACCGCTGTACCCTCAGATCCAGCACCCCACATACCCCTGTACCCTCACATCCAGCACCACACATACCACTTCTCTCTTGTTCCTTCACATCCAGTAACGCACATTTCCCCCCCACCCTCAGATCCAGCACCCCATATTTCCTGGTACCATCACACTCAGCACCCCACATTTCCCCCACCCTCATATCCAGCACCCCATATTTCCTGGTACCATCACACTCAGCACCCCACATTTCCCCCACCCTCAGATCCAACACCCCACATTTCCCCCCCCCCTCAGATCCAACACCCCCACATTTCCCCCCACCCTCAGATCCAGCACCCCACTTCTCTCTTGTTCCTTCAGATCCAGCACCCAACATTTCCCCCCACCCTCAGATCCAGCACCCCATATTCCCTGGTACCATCACACTCAGCAGCCCACATTTCCGCTGTACCTTGGATCATCGGCTGACCCTGGCACCAGCGGGGTTATCACCTCTATGGAGGACAGCCTTCTATTTATATGAGGTCTGATCTTGTTTCTTTGGATGGGTTCCCATTGACAGGTCCTCTCAGCTGTTCCTGGCAGAGGGTGTGAGGGGGACTTGGGATGTCCCTCTAGAGAACTCCATCCAACTCTCCGGACTCACACAAGCGGTCTCTGTTTGGGGGTGCAAGGCTTTGCCTCCTATGTAGAGGACAGATCTGACAGACGGAGGTTGGAGCCTTATTATCCTGAAGTTCAGTCTGAGGTTTGATGTCCCTTGAGGAGGCTCTGCTCAGGGTAGTCACCAGGCTCTCCGCAGGTTAAGCTGCCAGCATGCTGTGGGCCTTGCTGGAATTTTTCATCAATCATGTCCTCCTGGCCACCATTTGTTGCTTTGTGGCCTCCACTGTGGTGCTGCAATGTTTGACACGAATCCGCAGCTCCATGAAGATCGACCGAGCACAGAAACTGCGAGATCAGGCTCTCCGGCTGATGGAGAAACATGGCAGCGACTTCACGAAACAGGTACCTATAGCAGGGGAGCGTATCGGGGGGGGGGGGGAGTGAAGGAAAAGGCCCCAATAAATAGTATCATATTTGTATTCCATCAGTGTCCTATAGAGTGTCAGCTCTGCAGCCCATACTCTCCTCCCTTCCCATCCCACCCTGACTGTCTTCCACCTGCACGTCATCGGGGGTGAGAGTCCTATCTGCTACATTCTGCATGTGAAGGTATTGGGATATCTGGAGGTGTATGGCCATGATTGCAGCTAATTCCTGGACCCCCCAGCAGGCAGCCTGCACCGCTCCTCTATAGGTTGGTGATATTGTCTCCATCATGTCTTCCATTTACATCCTGTTCAGCCGATCTGTGATGAGCCTCTTCCATCCGTAACCCTGAGCAACCAATCAGGATTCTCCTTCCACTGCTCTGCCTGCTCCACGCATAGAAGAGGACATCTGGTTGCTATGGGTGACGGCGATGTACCATTATTATTCTGTGTTCAGTCTATGATAGAAGAACTGTCTGTGCTGCCCATACAGCCAATCACATATCCCAATCCACTAACAAATCCGTCTTCCAGGGTTTGTCCATCAGAAGGTAGGAGGCAAAGGCTGGGGATGGTAATGCTGGACTGAGGACATGAACTTGGGGAGTCTCGTAGGGCTGTGTAGGTGAGAAGTGCTGCAGCTTTCAGGGGTACTCCGCTCGTATTTGGGGTCAGGTTGAGTTTGCATGAACTGCTTTCCTGTTCCGTAATACTTGACTTGTAATAAATAATATCTCCGTCCAAACACACATCTTAGACTATTGGGTTCAGGGTACAGGACATGGCCTTGGTGTGCTGGGTTCAGGGTACAGGACATGGCCTTGGTGTGCTGGGTTCAGGGTACAGGACATGGCCTTGGTGTGCTGGGTTCAGGGTACAGGACATGGCCTTGGTGTGCTGGGTTCAGGGTACAGGACATGGCCTTGGTGTGCTGGGTTCAGGGTACAGGACATGGCCTTGGCTGGGTTCAGGGTACAGGACATGGCCTTGGTGTGCTGGGTTCAGGGTACAGGACATGGCCTTGGTGTGCTGGGTTCAGGGTACAGGACATGGCCTTGGTGTGCTGGGTTCAGGGTACAGGACATGGCCTTGGTGTGCTGGGTTCAGGGTACAGGACATGGTCTTGGTCTTGGTGTGCTGGGTTCAGGGTACAGGACATGGCCTTGGTGTGCTGGGTTCAGGGTACTGGACATGGCCTTGGTGTGCTGGGTTCAGGGTACAGGACATGGCCTTGGTGTGCTGGGTTCAGGGTACAGACATGGCCTTGGTGTGCTGGGTTCAGGGTACAGGACATGGCCTTGGTGTGCTGGGTTCAGGGTACAGTACATGGCCTTGGAGTGCTGGGTTCAGGGTACAGGACATGGCCTTGGAGTGCTGGGTTCTGGCTACAGGTCATTTATTTCGGTTTCTTGTGTATAGGACATTCTAATGGTTTTGTTGGGTTCTGGGTATTGGATTTAATGTTGGTGTTTTGGGTTCTAGAGTTGGACATTATTTTGGTATGTTCTGTATAGGCCCTTCTTATGGTTTTGTTGGGTTCCGGGTATTGGACATTATTTTGGTTGGTTTGATTCTAAGATTTGACCATTCTTTAGTGTCTTCTGTTTTGGGCACTCTTACAGTGTGTGTTGGGTTCTGGGTATTAGACAGTATTTTGGTGTTTTGGGCTTTCTTTTGGTTTGCTGCATTCTACGAAATGGACATTCTTACGGTGTGTTGGTTCTCAGTGTTGGACATTCTTATGGTGTGTTGGTTCTCAGTGTTGGACATTCTTATGTTGTGTTGGTTCTCAGTGTTGGACATTATTCTGGTGTGTTGGTTCTCAGTGTTGGACATTCTTATGGTGTGTTGGTTCTCAGTGTTGGACATTCTTCTGGTGTGTTGGTTCTCAGTGTTGGACATTCTTCTGGTGTGTTGGTTCTCAGTGTTGGACATTCGTACGGTGTGTTGGTTCTCAGTGTTGGACATTCTTATGTTTTTTGGTTCTCAGTGTTGGACATTCTTACGGTGTGTTGGTTCTCAGTGTTGGACATTCTATTGGTGTGTTGGTTCTCAGTGTTGGACATTCATATGGTGTGTTGGTTCTCAGTGTTGGACATTCTTACAGTATGTTGGTTCTCAGTGTTGGACATTCTTCTGGTGTGTTGGTTCTCAGTGTTGGACATTCGTATGTTGGTTCTCAGTGTTGTTCTTCTGGTGTTGGTTCTCAGTGTTGGACATTCGTACGGTGTGTTGGTTCTCAGTGTTGGACATTCTTACGGTGTGTTGGTTCTCAGTGTTGGACATTCTTACGGTGTGGTGTGTTGGTTCTCAGTGTTGGACATTCTTCTGGTGTGTTGGTTCTCAGTGTTGGACATTCTTACGGTGTGTTGGTTCTCAGTGTTGGACATTCATATGGTGTGTGTTGGTTCTCAGTGTTGGACATTCTTACGGTGTGTTGGTTCTCAGTGTTGGACATTCTTACGGTGTGTTGGTTCTCAGTGTTGGACATTCTTCTGGTGTGTTGGTTCTCAGTGTTGGACATTCTTACGGTGTGTGTTTCGTTACGGTTCTCAGTGTTGGACATTCGTTACGGTGGACATTCTTATGGTGTGTTGGTTCTCAGTGTTGGACATTCTTATGGTGTGTTGGTTCTCAGTGTTGGACATTCTTATGGTGTGTTGGTTCTCAGTGTTGGACATTCTTATGGTGTGTTGGTTCTCAGTGTTGGACATTCTTCAGTGTTGGACATGGTGTGTTGGTTCTCAGTGTTGGACATTCTTATGGTGTGTTGGTTCTCAGTGTTGGACATTCTTACGGTGTGTTGGTTCTCAGTGTTGGACATTCTTACGGTGTGTTGGTTCTCAGTGTTGGACATTCCTTTGGTGTGTTGGGTTCTGAGTTTTTGACATTCATTTAGCATGCTGATTGCGGGTAAAGGACAACATTTTAGAGTGTTTATTCCTGGGTAGGCCGTGAAGCTTTGTGTACAGAACATCCTTTCTGAGCATTGTTTCCTGGGCAGAGGACATACTCTCGTACTATTGGGTAGAGGCCATTCTGTTTGGGTTTTGGACTTTGAGTAGTAGACTTGTTCTGTACTATCTGGGTCACCTTGTCAACATGAAGGTCATCAATGTTTGGTTAGATCTGCCATATAAATGGATTTGAGCATTTTGGAAAAGTTGCCCTTTTGGTGGCAGCTCCTTTCAATTGGCCAATCTCCTTCTTTGTTCTGGGAAGGAGATATAACGGTCTTTTCTTGATTGTATAAAAGCGATTTACCCAGAATTGTGCCATTAGGTACGTTGTATAGGAAGGGGTTAGGATTAGGACATCACAACTCTGGACTCAGTGACGGTTACCTTATGAATTCAGTAGAGTAGACAGATATCCTCGTTGGTTCGGGGGTCTCAGCAGTGGTGTATTTACTCATTGTGTTGCCCTAGGCAACACTAAAATTGGGCCCCCCCCCCCCCCCGAGGCAGCAGCACATCTTTCAGCCATTGCGGTGTGTGCAGATAATGGACAGTGGGCACCTCACTTGCCCCTCGTAGGGAGGCCTCAGACCTGCCAGCCTCAGAGTAACAGAGAGCTGAGGCCATCCCAGAGTGGAGGCACCAGATGGTCTGCTGAGGCTCATCTTAGGATCCGAGGAATTAGATTTCATCTCTAATAAAATAATAAATATTAGTTGTAGGAAGAAGAATCTGATCCCGTCTGATAGAACGTCACATGAGCTACAGATACGGGATGTCCTAGCTGCAGAGAACCACCACCAACCAAACGGTTAGACGGGGCCTGCTCCAGCCATGTTGTTTGTGGACTTGTGAACAGGTGCTGATGTTTGATATCCTAACCCCCACCAAACCATCAGAACCGGCCGGCCCATATGGCCACCTCAGAAGGCAGAACCCCCCCCTCCCAGCAGGTGAGGTGACACCTACAGATTTGATTGGCCCGAGGTGATAAATCCGTCCCACATCCCTCAATACATTAGGTAGCTTTATAAATAACACATTGTATTTGTCCAGACGTGTATTCAAAGATACGGCAATTACAGGATTTCCGGCAAAACAATACTTCTCACATAGTTTCTGTTTTTCTCTCTTTCTTTTCTGGCGTATTTCCTACATTTCTGCGTTTTCCGGCTTTGTGCTCTGCTTGTCTACCGATATTCGGTAATACGATCAGTCGGTGTCCTCTGTGTGCGAAGTGTAGAATCCTTCCTCCCGGAGATCAGTGCGTTGTGTCCCCGGCGTCTGTGTGCTCAGTCAGAGCTCTGCTGTTATCAATGCATTGTCTGGATGCTGATTGTATGATTGGCGTCAGTGTGTGTAAGATGTCAGGTCTGCCATGTATGGTGGCCTAGCAGACCAATCCTTGGACAAGCTGCAGGTGGTGGTAACATCTCCCAATTGGATGTCAGCTCACAGGACAGCTTTTAGAACCTCGAAAGTCTGTGGGATCACCTGGCTGCTCCCCACCCATAGGCCGGCCATAGACTGTGTGAACCACAAGTTGCAGGAAAAAATTTACACAATTCCACCATCAACACAGACTGTGCTGACAGGGGAATCCTTCCTGCCGAGCAATTGTCTTCTCCGGGGGGGGGGGGGCATCACCGGGAAAATTCAGTGATTATTGCTAACGATAATCGCAAGTAAATCTGCCAGGCTGGTTGTACCCAAGATGGTCGCTCAATCAACTTGGTACATTCAGCCTGCCATACACGGTTTGAATCTCGGCCGGTTCCTGCTGAACAGCCTGAGATTCGAACCATCTATGGCCGGCCTTAGAGTGCATTGGATTGTATAAAAGATTTGTATCTGCCCGTGTGTGTCCAGAAAGTTAGATTTGGGTGAATCGCCCTCTAGTGGTGGCCAGTGGTATTGCATGTCATAATAACTTGGCTCTCCTTATTCCTTCTACACTACACTAGATCCTGGCCTGGTTAGCGTGTCCCTGTGGTTGGATGTCTGGTGGTAGCACGTT